TGGCAGGAATGGCATATGACCGGCTAGGGGAGGACACAGGTGCCGAGGGCGTCAAGCTTCCATACCACCAGCAGGTTCTCAAGCTGGGGAGTGAAGAGGAACTGACGCTGTTTGGTTACTGCCGTGCTTCCTGCAAGACTTTTGCCTTCTACCTCGTCACACTTATTACTTTAGGTATTCCCTTCCTTATTGTTTATTGGAAGCCAGAATGGGGCGTCTACATGAAGAGACGGAGGTGCTCACTTATGGAAGCCGATACACTAATCATTAAGGTAATGTATATATTTTCAAGTTTAAAGTTATTTAGAAATTTACAATAAAGGTTTGCCTAAACTAATTGCTTCATTTACTTTTTTATACAAACCTTTTATTTTTATTATTTTGTACAAGGATGTTTATTTAGTAGATAAACATCCTGTAATATGAAAAAACAATTGACTTTAAAATTTTGCAAATTCATGCTTAACAATTATAAGAGATTTAATAATATTAAACTAAGACAGTATTACAATCTAAAAGGAAAGGATAGAGAAACATCATAGTTCTTAACTATTGCCAGGACATGGATGGACAAATTTACGTTTCATCAGTGAATTCGGAAACAGTGGAGGCTGGCTTCCCCTCCAAATATGTTATTTCTTCACACCTCACAAATGGGGCTTCCAATGGGGTCCACAATGGAGCTTCAGATTCCACACATCTCACACAGCCGAGGCACAGGTATGTAGTTTGACTATGTTAGGTTCAGGTGTCTTGATTGTCATCATCACTACTGTTGTAATTGTCTATGTTATTACCATCATAGTTGTCCTCCTCATTATTATCATCATCATTATTCTGAAGATAGGTTTGTAGTAGTCTTTGCATATTATGTATTGGTTATTGGCATTATGCCAGAGTTTTAGTTGTCATTACCATTAAATCTGATACATGTAAGTAATTTATTTTATTTCAGCGTTATCATGTTTAATATAGATTATTACTTTTGCAAGAAATGGAGATTAGCATAGGAAAGTAATTTTTTTGTATGATACTCATGTATTCATCATGTTTTTTTTTTTTTTTCAGAATTATAAGATATTTTATCTTTCAACATATCAAGTACATTTGGATACCAGGCAAACTCCACTTTGAGAGACTCTATGGCTGTGATAGTAACACACTGATAAGCTCACTACTTAATGACTTCAGGGGATATACTGTTCAGGAGCAAATGCTAAGGTGAGTTCTGAGTTTAATGAGGTGTTGAATTAAGTTTATTAATTCTGGTGTAAAGTTGAGATGGTATTGTTCTTTTTTAGTGGAAGGGGGACCAGATGTGGGTTTGATAATATTGGAATGCTTATTTGAATAGTTTAAAGATTGCCTTTTAACGGCAGTAATTCTGATAACTTTAACAAATTGTTTTGGATAATAGCAAAATTTGCTCTTTAGGTAGTACTTCTGATAACATGAAAAGGTCTCAGAAGCAGTTATTTTGATTCTTATACATATCCATCTAGATTACATACACACACATTGATGCTTTCAGATATAATGTATACACACACATGTATGCATATATATATATGCATGTATATGGATATACTTTGTGATCTATGTCCTAAGTTACACTGAAATAATTACTTTATTCAATTAATATTTTGGCATATTTGTTCATTACAGGCAGCAGCTATACGGTCGTAATGCCATCAGCGTTGAGGTCAAATCATACTTCTACCTTCTAGTAACAGAAGTCCTGAACCCTTTCTACATCTTCCAAATTGCCTCCATTGCCCTGTGGTCCTTTGACAATTACATCCTCTATGCTACGTGCATTTTCCTTGTTTCATGCCTTTCTGTTGCGGTTTCGCTTTATGAGACTCGCAAGGTAAGCAATTTATGACTCGTTTTGGTTGTTTTCTTATTTTTCCTTTATTGTATTTTGGGATTTTTTTCCCATTGTGTGTGCAGAGGATTTTTGTCTCATGATGATGTGATTTATATTTCAATCGGATGATGGTGGGAAAGTAATGCACATTCAAGTAAAACAAAAATATTAAATTTTCATCTTTTCCTAAGCTAGCAATATGTTGCATGATACACTCTTGTAATACTAGGTTGTTGCAGTGAGGCACAGCTCACAGTCTGCCATGTGATCACAAGGGTAAACAACTAATGTGCTGTGTTTGACATTGTATTTTGTGTTTTTGGGATTTTGCATATATTTAGGCTAGACTAAGTGATTGAAGCTTAGTTGACCACATTCACCCCATTTGGCAAGAATACATGCCATGCCAATAGTTACACAAGATTATTTATTGTCTTTAGATATAGATAGCTGAACAAGTATTTAGTCACCAAGGAGTCAGTCATTAGTCTACCTATCTCACCTGTTTACCCTTTTCCTTGATTTTATTTAAAGCTTCTTGTGTATTCATTAATTGTTTTGAATGTTATCAATATTTTGATACCACTTTAACAATCATAGTGTCAGTAAGAACAATAGCAGTATCAACAGTAACCCGTTTTATACGGTAAGACCGACGCAGTGTCATAAAGCGCCAGTGGAACATACTGTGACACCAACATTGGTGTCATAATTCCATTTAATTTTACTTGTTGCTGAGTGATCCCGTATTCTGTACTAGATCTATTTTTAGACTCCATATACTGCCCTAGATATTCAGTAGCTCCATCTGCCAAGCCTGTTTCCACCGATCATATACATCAGCTAGATATACCCCTCCCCATACCTAGAATGAGGAACTATCACTGGCAGATTCTAAATCACAGTTTCCCCCTCTGTGGTCCTTCCCCTGTCCACCATATCTCTCTATTCCTTTACCTCACCCTATACACCTCCACCAGGGATGGGTGACAGTATGGGGGGTGCACTTCCCCCCTCCTTGGTTCATTCTTTGTCCTTATATCCCCCTCTCGGTGTCCTTCATTTCTCAAACATTTTAAACCAAATATCTGCATGTGTATGTGTGTACATGTGTGTGTGTGTGTGTGTATGTATATATGTATGTATGTATGTATGTATGTATGTATGTATGTGTGTATATATGTATGTATGTATGTATGTATGTAAGTATGTAAGTATGTATGTATGTATGAAGAGAGAGAGAGAGAGAAAGAGAAAGGGGCTAAAACTGTACTAGATAGGAGACATTCAGGATGACACAAACAAATTTACTGCATGCTGGAGAGATACCCGTATATGAGCTACGCACGCTTTTTAAACCAACAGAGCGAACAGCTTAATAGTGTTAAAAGAAAAAACACATTCTCTTGCTATGTCACGGAATGGGTAAGTCAGGTGCGATCATTAGGGACTCCTTGGTGCTGAGTGCATGCAGAGCTATCTGTATATAACAAAAATCACAAAAAATTACAGGGGACAGTACATAAATCTGGGGTGATTGGGTTAAAGTAGGCTAGGCTATGTTATGATATTTAGTAGATCAGTTACATTTAGTGTATTTTTTACCTTGCAAAATGTTCAACTTTGGATAGTTTATTTGAGACATGACCCATTTCAAGTGGAGGAGTATCTGAAGTTGAAATAGCTGATATAGTTGACTTCTTTTTTGTGAAAAGTTGATATATTTGGTTATTTCCGGTTAAATATTTTGATTACTTTGTTCTCTTGGTTTGCAATAAGATCACTAAAGTTTTTGTATTATTTCAGCAAAGTCAGTCACTGCATGATATGGTTGAGGCGTCAAATACCAATACTGCAACAGTGCTAAGATCTACAGCAGAGAAAACCACAGGTTTGTGTTATTTTGTGTTTTGAGTTTTCTGATTTTGTAATATTGTTTCTTGAATTGATATAGGCCAGAGTTATTAAATGAGAACCATTTTTTAAAAATCTGTTTTGTTTAATTACTATACCTGATAGTGATGAAAATGTCATAATTTTAACATTGATAAAAGAGAGAAGAATGCAGTGATTCTTATTAATATATTGAATGCTGCTGTAACTTATTATTTAATATTTTAAGGTAATCAACAGTGATTCTAACTAGTTATAAATAGATATTATCCAAAATGATAATGCTTTCAATCTCAACAGTTGAAGTAGAAGTCAACACAACAGACTTGGTTCCTGGTGATGTGTTGGTCATTCCTGGAACAGGTTGTCTCATTCCTGGAA